TGAAAACATGTTTGCATTTGTTATTCATGTATATATGTCTTTGAACTTGCATTTCGTTGTAATAATATTAAATGGGTGTTGGATTTGTATTTCTTTGTTTTAATAGTGAATTCCAACTTATACATTGTTAATAACATAATTTTATATACGTGCCTATCTTGCCCCATTACTGTTGCCCCTATACCAGGGGCAACTTTAATAAAAATAATTAAAATAATTACAACTTTACAAAAAGAGAGAAGTTGCCGATCTTGCCCCTATACCCGGGGCAACTTCGTCAATTTCTCTCTTCTTGTAAAGTTGTAATTATTTTTATTATTTTTATTTCCAAACTGATTTTAACCAGTTCTATAGTAAGGTAACATTCCAATAGACAATATGCAAAGCTTTTTTTTTCAGTTTACTGCAGTATTTATTACACAAAATTTAAGTAAAGATTAACATGCCGATTCCTCCCCGATCTCCCCTAAAACAAAATAATATCATATTGTCAAGTATAAAAATAAACCGAGGATTGCTACAAGGGGACGCATGGTCTCCCTATCTATTTAATTTTTATGTACATGATCTAAATGCATGTTTTACAAACGACAATGACGGTTTTTGTTTTTCACATCAGATAGTTCATTCCATATCATACGCTGATGATATTGTTGTATCAGCGCCGACTGCAGCTGCACTTGGACGAAAAATTAAAGCTTTGGAAAAATACTGTGAAGACTCTAATTTAAAAATTAACCCAAAAAAATATATGTTTTTTTTTCTTAATCAGGAAAGACTTTTAATTGTCTCAGAGATGAAATTTCTGGGTATAATGTTCGCATCTACTTTGTCGTTCGAAAAACAATTCAAGAAAGTAAAAACTAAAGCTTCTACCTTGATCAACAATTTAGTTAAGCTATTTGTTAAATTAAAAATTCGTAATATAAAAGTTCAATTCAGATTATTCTCTTCCATTGTTTTAAATTCATGTGGATACGCTGCACCTATTTCGAGTCCTTTGTACTTTAAAAAATTGGAAATTATTCAAAATAAATTTATACTAAAAGTCTTTTCGTTAGACTTTAATATCTCTGGAGCGGTGTTGCGTTTTGAATTGAATAGATTCAAATTGGGCCCTTTTTTCATGAGAAGATATGTTAAATTTTTGAGTCGATTGAGAGACAATGCATCGTTACCTTCTTTACTGTTGAAATTATTATATAATAAATCGCTTAATGATAAGTCTAAACTAAATTGGGTCTATCAAGTGTCTACTGTATTTAATATATATGGGTTCTCAATAATTTCGTTTATATATAACACAGACTTAAATGAAATATATAATGTTCAAATGATTAAGAATGCTTATGAAATATCTTTGTCTCAAGATATACCTGACGTTAAAATTCATAATAACTCTATTTGTTATAATATTATTCTGAATTATCCAGACATCAATAATTATACTGGTTCTGATTTATCCTTCAATGTCAAAAAGTCCTTTATTCAATTAAGATTAAATAGAGAAATTATTCTGATTAATAAAACTATCTATCAATTCTCTAAATTTTTTTGTATAAGTTGTAATGTTGCCATGTCTAAACTCCATTTGTTTTGTACTTGTTCTTGTAATAGAACTCAAGAGTTACGGAAAAGAGAGTTTATTTTTAAAAAATAGAGAGGATTTTACGTATTTTTTCTTTCATAAGGCTAAAAAGACTACTATATATAATCTATATAATTATGCTCAGAGATTTTTTATTGTTAATCAATTTAATATATTGATTCTGTAATTCTGTTAATACTTTAATTATGAGAATGTATAGACTGTTATTGTATTGCTTATGAAATTATGTAATGCTATGTATCACATTATTCCACCTTTAGTAACAGGCGAAAGCCTAATATAAATAAAGTTATGAAGAAGAAGAAGAAGAATAGCATGAATATAAAAATCAACCTCCATGCAAAATTTCAGAAATTTCAGAAATTTTTGACAAAAGGTAAAATTATAAGAGTTATTAATTTAGCTTCAAATGTAACACACACATACAAAGAAAAAATTCTCAAGGTGTTCTGGTTTTATTGATGTTTCAAGGTTTAAGGATGTTTCAAGGTGAATTCTACATTTCTCGGACTTATGTCCGAAAAATGTAGAAATCTTGAAATTTTATGGAATCTTTATATTCGTATATACAAATACCACGCAATAAAAAACTTGTCGACTTCACTTGCCAAATACAGCGTATTTAAAAAAAATAAGATCGGAAAAGGATAAATAAAAATGGACATAAATGGCAAAATATTCAGTTAAATTACAGAAATTTCAAAAAGAGTTTTGTGAGTTACATAACATTAAAATATTATAATATAATCGAGATGGGTTTATAATAATAATAACAATAAGCGGCTAGCCCAAACAGTTAGAAGTTAAAAGTTAATTTGGTAAACAGGGTATGAGAATGCACACTAAGAAATGATTATTAGAAATGTGAGGAAGCGGGAGAAGGTTAATGATTTTTCTGAAGAACTCGGCTTCTATTGTACTATTTTACATGCAGTTTTTTTGAGATTTTGCGGGAAATCGAACATATNAAACGAAATAATAAATTGTTATTTATCGTTAATGACGCCGTTAACATTATAACATTATATTCGGATTTTTAAACATCTGGTCGAAAATTACTATTAAATTTATGTTTCTATATTTATTTTTAATATAATTATACAATAAAAATGTAGTTTAACTTGCTCACAAAACTTATTTTCAAAAGAAATATTGCATTCGAAACCACCGAACAAATAACGCATCGACAATAGCCGAAAATATATTATTAATGTCTATTGTTTACGCAACAATTGGAAAAGTGCTTACGTCACGCTAATCACAGAACATACTTAGAATTACGTACGAAAAGTAATTTTATTTTTGTTTTGTTTTTTGATAAGTAAACACAAAGAAGGACGTGGTCGAAATGCTTTTCGAGAACATTATTTAGAGGCAATGTGGTCCTTATTTATGCGTTATATGCGTGAAGACATTCTGGAAAACTGTACTTGCGATTCCATAGATAATGTGTGAACCCAATCCGAGTGGTGGAAATTTTATATCGAAAATCTCACAACAATTTTTTATTATTGACTTTTTGTTTGACATGGCGTCGAACTGATAGGTAAACATTCAAAACGATAATTCAATGGCACAGTTTCATGTTTCCGGTAATCCAAAACACTTGCGAGTGTTTATGTAAAGTAAAAAACTAAAAAGCAGATATTGTTTATTAATAATCAATGTTATTTCTTAAATATTAAGCAAGATTAGTTGTAAGCAGCAAATATTCTCTCATGCCACAATGCTGGCCTGTAATTTTTCATCATATTCATTATGTATTTAATTTAAAACAACACAAATTGATACACTTTTGACCCTGTACATTATACTTTTCCTAATAACAACAGAATGTACCTAAGTGCGTTGGTTTGAAAATATTTCGATTGAAATCACCCAACTTCAAGTCTCGACCAAAAGTTCGTGTGCACTTACTACAGCGCTTTTTCAGAAAATAAAAGTTTTTAGACAACAAACAATTCGATTTGAATTGTCTTTGTGAGAGTTCCACAAGTGTTTATACATAATTTCGTGTTAAATCTTCATTAAGTCTGACCCCTCGGAAAATATCATGCACGAACCCCTTTAATTTTTAATTATCAAAATTGAGTAGTATCAATGCCCCTTACATAGAAGTTACCATGTAAACTTTTTCTCTTAATGTTATCGTATTGTGAAATATTAAACGAAATAATTGTAAACACAGACAGACACATATTACTGTTTAAGTAACGAAAATAATTATTTAAAGTATTTTTGACGAAATCAATGGAATCTTTGCAGAAATAAAATTTTGATATTAATGCTATACAGTACTTTGAATTGTTTCGAATATATTAAACTACAACATGCAACACACATCAAAGATTGCAGATGGATAATTAAGTTTCTTAATTTTAACACAATGAATTTAACATCAAATAATTCCTTAATAATTTTTAAATGCGGAAAATATTTTGTAATCTCTTTGTGACCTTACCTTCATCTGTTCCTCCCACTTTCTCACCTAATTTCAATGTTTGTTGGTCCACGTTTAATTTTTCTTGCGACTCCTGTAAATAGTAAAAAATTCTGATTCCCGATATAAAAATCTTACAGTACTCATACTGATTTTGCTTATTAACTCAGAGAATATTTATATAATAATAAATAAACAATTTGCAGCTATTTTAAATAAAACATTTTATATGATTGTCATGGTATTTAAAGTTTTCCAACTGAAAACTTTAAATAATAAGAATTATTAAATTAGTTTCAATTATTTTAATGGAATTGTAACTTACTAAAGATTTTGTTTCTTCTCGTTTTTTCCGTGTTTGATCCGTAATAATATGCACCGTGGCGACGGAATCATCCAACCTTACTTCTTTTTGTTCATTTACAACTGCTTCTTCGCCTGAATTCAAAATTATAGGAATTTCAAAAAACAGAAACAAAGAAAATGACAAACAGTTTACACCAAATAAACAGATGAAATTGTTATTCTAGAGAGATATTTTGAAACTTTATTTTATAACAAATGCACAAAAATAAAAATTGAAAATATAGAAAAATCAATTAATTTCTGCTCAGAAATTTCTTAATTAAAATGTGACATAAAAGCATAAATATTGCGTTGTGATTTGACATTATGAAATATGGAAAAGTGTAATTTGTCTATCATAAAGTTAATTAAAAATGTAATATTATTAAAAAGTTATTCTCAGTGAAAATAAATGAACAGATTTTTATTATCGTATATTCAGAAGCTCACTTTATCTTGATTTAATAAAAAGTCTGAGTAAAATGTATTTTAATATTCAGTTTCTAGATTAACTTGAAAAATGTAAAAAATCAAATGTTCATTTATATCTTTATAACAAATATAATAAATCAATGAATAATTTTAACCAATTAAAAATAATTGCCACATTTGTTACAAGTTTTTTCTTATAAATGTGCATTGTTTGCAATTATTTAGCGGTGAAGATCTGTATTCAGCAATATCGATAAATAATGTAATGGACATTTTGTAAATATAAAATATAGCATTGTTCAATGACCAAAACCTGATATGTACTCCAAATCAAGTCGTAAGTATGCATTAAACACTAGAACATTAGCCTATAGATTAGATTTTATACGATTATTTTAAATTAGCAATTCATATTAATTGAATTTATGAATATCTTATTTTATTATAAAAATGTTGTCGTAATTTCTGTTTTGATGTTTTTATTAATTGTAATGGAACCGGATTAAGAATTATTAGAAAAGATGCAGAAATAAAATAATAAATTGTTATTCATTTGCAGAAAATCGTCTAACGCTCTAATTGTCTCCAGCAGAAAACGAATGCAAAATTAAATATCGTTCCACCGTATAACATTTTAATTTTGTTTTTTAAACATCCCGTAAAATTACTATTAATTGTATGTGTTTAGATTCATTGCGAACACGTTATTAAACTGTTAATATAATTATATAATAAAAATAATTTAACTTACTCTTAAGATCCATTTTTTTACTCACCACCTGCTTTCGATAAATCTTCAACAATTCGATTAAATTTCTTCAACAATACTTGAAAACTTATTCTTAGAACTTATTGTTTATGCAACAATAACAAACGTACTTACCAGTCGCATTGCGTGCTAAGCATTACGCATGTCAATCAGTTTTATTTTTGGGGTATTTTTGGTGGGTAACTGTAAAGAAAGACGTGTGCGATTATAAATAAGGATGTTTGTTTGTTCGTTCGCTTGAACGACCTAGAAGTGTATACCAATTGCTAAAAAACTCGGTTTGGTACTTACTTTGACATACTTCTAACGTACATCATGTCATACATTCCATTGCGAAATATCGATTGCATTTCTACAAATAAATTAATTTTGTTTTCGTTTTGTTTCGTTTGTTTAGTTATGGCGATTTGCTTAGTGGTGGTTCCTTCTGTGAGGCCTTTTAAAGGGAAACTGGTTTTTATTTAGGTTTTAGGCAGAGACTCCACTACCGTAAAAACGGCGTAAAATCCTTCGCCGTAAAAGCTTTTAATCACGTGATTCTGATATTTTATGGCTGAGCAGGTCGTAAAACCAGCGAGTTGAGCAGTGTTCAACTTTAGACGCGAATACGGCCGTAAAAGACACCTTCCACCAATCAGAAGTTATTGAAATATAGGTCATTGTATCACGGTGCTAAAATGGCGGAAAACAAGCTTTTGTGTACGTTCCCTCGTGGCTATTCTAGAATAGATCTGGAAAGATTTATCAAAAACATCCGAAAGTATTCGTGTATCTACAACAAGAGTTAAAAAACAAGAGAACTATAATAATGGATGTCAAAGGAAAATCTTTCAATTTAAACAAGTATATAAAAAAGCTAAGCTTATAAGTGATGTATATTAAGAATAGGATAATAAAAGTTAATATATGAAAGTAAAGATATTATTTTTACTACATTTGTAATTATAGTACAGAAAAAACTCGTAGAATACGAGTATAATNATATAAAAAAGCTAAGCTTATAAGTGATGTATATTAAGAATAGGATAATAAAAGTTAATATATGAAAGTAAAGATATTATTTTTACTACATTTGTAATTATAGTACAGAAAAAACTCGTAGAATACGAGTATAATCATTGTCTTTATATCGATATCACATCTACAACTGTCTTCGGTTTTACCAATTCACGTGCGAACAAGTATTTACTTTTAACATTTGGAGCATCACCGTTGTCGTAAAAACTTCGTTAGCCAGACCAGACGCAAACGCAAATAGGTCACGCGGTTAAAAGCTTTTACGGCGAGGGGTTTTACGCTGTTTTTACGGTAGTGGAGTCTCAGCCTTGCAGAAGTGAAGAAAACTGCACGTGGCCAGCCTGTTCGAGTAGGGCGCAATCCTCGGACCAAACTCCCAGTTTTCATGGGTTACTTTTCTCAATGTGCTGGGACAATGTTCGCTCGTCGGTCAGTGGCAGTTCTCTGTTTGAGAAATCTTATTCAAAAGTGCTCTTATTTTATGTTAATTTCGCCGAAGGGTGCAAATTTGTCGCTCCTATATAAAAAAAAAGCAATTGATTTGACACGGATTGTTTTTATTTTGCCATTTCTACAAAATATTATATCTACCTGTATAATTGTTTCTAACTATTTCTACAGACTTCTATTTGTGTATATGATTTTTTTATTGCGTATTTCTACAGATCATGCTATTAGTTAGGGTCAGTCTCAAAGAACAGCGCAAAGAAGTGATTGTCTGCTTCCTGATAAAATGACAGTTATAAATATTAATTATATAATAGTATGTAATTATAAATATTAAATATTTATAATTACATACTATTAATTTCAACACAAAATATTTTAATAATCTTAATCATTTATTTAATAACAAACAGGAATGTTTTCCATGTTTTTTGTTGAACAAGTTACCATACTTTTTTTAATTAATTAGATATTGAATTAGAAATCATATAGTTGGAAAAAGTATGGATTAAATTTTCATTTTTTGTAAGTAAATGCTACTGACAATATTGATAAATGTGTGGAACATTTAGATATACGTACAAATGCACATAGAAAGTAATAAAGTAAATAGAATTGTAGTTCTTTCGAACTAACGCTGTATCATTCAGAATCGGAAAGATTTCTATCAGCATTCCACAAGTAATAAAAGTTTATAGTACGATTCTTATTTTTAATGTATTGCTTAACCATTTTGTTTTCCCTTCCTTTACATTTAATAATAAATAGGATAAATTAAACATATAGTAGAGATGCCAACCATCAACTTTCCGCACTGACAGTAAGCTTTCTGGGTTATCCTATCAGCTTCTCAGTGCATTGTATAATTTGTCAGCTTTTCATCCACTTCACTTTTGCTTTCTCTGTTTTTTATTCTGGTCTCTTCAAGTTAAATTCACTTTAATGTATCTGAATTAGGATTCATCCAAATTTTCTGTTGTATGCTGCATAGAAGCAGGGTTGTCAAGAGCTTGCATGGGACACAACAGTAAATCAGGCCCTTTAGCCATATGTTTTTTATTTTCAACAAATGAAACACATTGGTTTTATTAATAAAGAAATATTTTATCTTAGTTTATTTTTTGTTAGTATAAAAAATTTATTTTATTGGATAGGAATAACTAAATTTTCTCTGGACTTGAGGAAAATTTTCCAGCTTTTCTTTACTTGACAATGTCTTATTACATAAACTTTAGTAAGCACAATGTAATGATAATAAGTCAAATGATTGCCATAGTTAATCAGGATATTTTTTGCTACTATTAATAATTACATATTAAGTAATTTGGTGTTATAAGCAGATGTTAGGTTCCAACTCTTATTGAAATAAAAAATTATTATATGTTAAATAATTTTCAAATAGCAAAAATAGAATCGTTATTAATATTAATAGTAGCGAAAAATATTCCAATTAACTCGTTGGGTACACAACAATTTTAATTTTAATGTAATTAAACATAAAAAAAATACTTAAAACTGAAAAAAAACGAAAGAAATGCGTTCATTTTGAACAGAAAGCTTCAAAGTTTATTTTCCATTGTCTGTGAAATCTGACATCGATGAGTCATTGTGTTTACAGCTGAATGACCTTGAAAACAGCTGGAGTTAGATTTCCCGGGACATTCTCATAGACATCTCGGGAGGACAAGGGTTTAAAGTAGGGTGAATACTAGCTGGCCGTATATTTTTAAATATTTTTAAAAAATTACTTTTTTTTTTTATTGCGATTTTGGACCCTCTTAATTTACTTAAACGTATATATAATCAAATATATTAATTAAAAAAATTAAAAATCTATTGGAGGTCGTTTTTGACATCAGAATCTAGCTTTAAATAACTTTACCCAAGTAAAATCCGTGCACTAAAATTTTAGAACCACGAATGAAATTTGATAAAAAAGTCCCATTAAAAAACAATTAAGCGTCATTAAAGGTAGATTAAAATCGCGATAAATTTTTTTTCGCGTGGGAAAAAACTTTTCAAAAATTTGGAGACTTAACAAAAAAGGGTCTAAAAACCCGTGTTTTTGTAAAGCTATGTAACTTGCCTGAAATTTAATTAATTATGGTGATCGTTTAATTTAGATCTCGTGATATTCTTGTGTTTTGTTTTTAAAATAGAAATACCAAACATGTCTGGGGTCAAGTTTCCAGATTGGTCAATTAATCAAAAAATGAGACTGAAACAATTATATTTCATTTATTTAACATATTTCTCAGCTTTTTGCATAAGGTCAGTGTTTTTAATATTTTGAAGTTGATTGGATCTGTATTGGAAAATCTGAATATATCACATGGAACATTAATACAATTCGACACCGTCTTTTGTTCGATGCTGAAGGAAGTCTTGTATCTCACTAACATTTCCATTTTTGTTTGTCTTGTCTAGAGCAGATTATCACAAAAGAGGGTCATTATTCAAAATCTTGTTCTGCGACTTTCATTCTATACTCCGTTAACAATGGTGTATTAATTTAGGCCAGTTTTGGTTGTGACTGATAGAATTATTTTTCACGCAAATTTGGGGATGAGGGAAACTTTCCTTAAACTTCAACCATATTGATTTACTCTATCTTTAACCAATCCTATGTCACAGGAAAACTCGATCGCGACAATTGTGTTTTTTCTTTCACAATGCAAGTTCTCTTACAATAACAAAATAAGCTGTGCCATTAATATAAGTACAAGCAGAGTTATATAATGAATTACAATCAAAAGTTTCATTTTAACCACAATCGGATCAACTAATCTTTCATTGTGATAGTATCATGTCAGCACTCTCCTGGCAAGTGACATTGAAAATTTCAATTCGCGACAAATTTATATATACGTGTATATCCAATCCATTAATAAGAATACAAATCAAGTTACATACTTAATTCCAAACAAAAATTCATTCAAATACATAACCGTACCACAATGTTTTGTTATTATGTACGAATTACCTAATTTGTTTAAAAGTAAAACTACTATTGTGAATTCGCGATAAATAATTGGTATTGTTTTGTTTTATTTCAAAACCTCTTCATTTAAAAGAAGATGATTGATTGGATCTGTATTGGAAAATCTAAATACATCACATGGAACATTAATAATCTTAACTATTTCTATCGCTTTAATTTAATATTTTTACCAATAAAATGGTCACAACTTTGTTAGATCAAGCATTTATTGAGAAAACTCCTCAGATCTAACAATTCTTCTTGAGTTGTATTTCTTGGAGTGAAAAGATTTTATAAAATTCCAAAAACGCTTAGACTATCAAACACAAGAAGAATAAGAATTAATTAAAGGAAAAAACCAGATTACTACTAACCAAGAGTAATGTATCATTTTAAGCTGAAACTGATCTTAACATTAGTCAATATCAAACCTTCCTTATGTCTTTCAGAAATACTTCATTAGAAACAAATGTTTTTGTCTAGTTTTCGAATTTGTTTCAGGTTCTACACCTGCAAATTGATTCACTGAAAAAAAAACACTGGTAACCTAGCTTAAAAATTATTACAACTAATCAATTAAAGGACAAAAACTATAAATTTCAATTATTAAAATAAAGATTGTTCTACACTTGTCATGAAAACAAAACACAGTTGAATACA